AGAGAGAGAGAGAGAATCACCACCAACCTGTCTAATGACATCATTTAGCCCAGGACATAATCCTCCACAAGTGACAATCCCTGCTTTTACCTCAGTAGGATCAAAGTATATCTGCTTACGTGGCCCAGCACGATGTACCCTATAATAAGAGAGATCAAATCATCATCATCATTAGAACCTTTTCCAAACTATTTGGGGTCGGCTAAGAGAAATATCAAATGCAAATAACAAAAATGAATGGAAAATCTTCCTCTCTCTCTCTCCCTCCCTCCCTCTCATACAAACACACACACACAACACACACATGGGTGTTACTTGTAAATTTGCAACCTCTTACTTTCCCTTCAAATTTCCGAGAACCTCTATCTTTCCTTTTATCTATCTAAAAGCTCATGTGTTATCTGAATGCAATGATAATGCTAAACTAAAGTCATATCCATCTCCCTTTAAATCTCTTTTTTTGCATTTTAAATGTGTATATTTTAAAAAAGTCTATTATGGAGAAGAAATAGGATAAAAAAAAAAAAGGAACTTCATAAAAAAATTTGATAAAGTCACAAAGGTAAGCAGCTATAAGAAAGTCTTAGAAATGAAATAAAAATGAAAAATTTCAATATATATATATGTAATTTTATTTTTTTTCATGCTAAAGTTAAATTTGTATTTAAGTTACATAATTTAAAATTTATTTTTCCATCTAATTTCTCGGCTAATGCATTGTGCAACACACATGCCATTCGACACAAAGTAAAAATCCCCCAACTCAGGTTGCACTCATTAAAAAACATACCATTGTTCAACCCATGTGCAATTTGGATCTATGCACTCAGCCCCAGCAGATGTTGGTGAAGAGTATTTTATTACCTGTTCCACATGAGTAATTGTGTAGCATGGTATACAAGAATTAGTTCTGTATAAATCTTTTTTAAAAAAGTTAGCAGAAAAAACAGTATGTGATAAGGGAGAGCTCAAATCTAAAGAATTTCTAAATTCTCAAATCAACATGGGGGGCTCAGTCACATGAGTGAAAAACATACACTAGCTCAAGGAATACCAAAAGAAAAAACCTAAGTCACCTCAAGTACAGCTGTTTGCAATCAATCACGGTAGCTTTTGTTCATCATTGTGTTTACCATGATTAACTTTTTGACTCCATATATTAATTATTAAGCTATTGCAAGTAACCTCAGATCAACAACAAAACACTGTCATTGGAAAAGATCACTGTGATGTCTATGAACCTAGAGTTTTCCTCTATAAAATATAAACTAAAAATCACATAGATTGGTTCGACTTGAAATCACTTGTTGTTCATAAGTAGAAGACAATGCATATTATAAATAAGCTATAAGTATTATGCATATAAACAGAATTCAACTATGGACACCACACACATTGGTTGGTTTGCATGCTTTGTAGCAATACAAGCAAATCCTTAACGTAAGCACGAGTGACTTTAGCCACCAGGAAAACCTTTTGAGTCTTTGACAGTTCAACAAATTCAGTATCAAAGTCATGCAAAATTATGTAGAACAAAGTATTAGATCAACAACTTCCTACTCACATACCATGTTGAGCAAAGTCTGATATCCATCTCTTTAGATAAAGCCAATCCAACAATGGACATGGGTAAAATATATCATCATCATCCGAGCCTTATCCCAACTATTTGGGCCGGCTACAAGAATTCCATTCCATCATTCCGCTCTATCAAAGATCAAATCCTAGTCACCATATCTTTTTTCACTACTTCAATCCATATCCTTTGGAGCATTCCCCTTGCCCCTTTAGAGCCTTCCAGTTGGTCCAAATAACTCCTCCTAACTGGTGTTATTTTAAGTCAACACTGCACACGACCAGACCCCCTTAATCTATTTTCCCTTATTTTATCACCTACTGGAGTTACCCCTAAGTTCCCTTGCATGTATCTATTCCGAATTCTATCATTCCTTGCTTTGCCACTCATCCATATCAGCATCCTCATCCCAATTACACTAATTCTATGGATATATTGTTTCATGACCGTCCACCATTCCATGCCATAAAGCATTGATGGTCTTACATCCATCCTATACTTCCCCTCCAATTTCATTTGTATGTGAAGATCACATAAGACTCTAGAAGCGCATCTCCACTTTGCCCACCAAGCTCTAACTCTATGAGCAACGTCTTACTCAATCTCTCATTCTCATGAATTATCAACCCAAGATATCGAAAATAATCTCTTTTAGGTACTTATTCGCCATTGATCTTGACTAATAACTCATTTTGCTCCTATTATTACTAAACTTGCATTCCATATATTCTATCTTATTCTGGCTAATTTTAAAACTTTTAGATTCTAAAGCATCCCTCCAAAGTTCTAACTTTGCATTTATGCCATCTCTAGCCTCATCAACCAACTATATCATCCACAAACAATATACACTATGGGACCTCATCCTGTAGATGCCTGGTCAAACTCATCCATAATCAAAGCAAAGAGACATGGGTAAACTATATCCTATATTAAAATTATCAAAAAGAAAAATATCAAATACCACTCATTTCATCAAGAATCATGAAACTCTTAATGCTAGTCAAATTCATTCAAAGATCATACCTTGAGGAGGGCTCTATCATCATCATTCACATATCCATCTGAGTATTCATCAAACACGTGGATGCCACGAGCTGAAATGTTTCTGTAATATTAATAATCTTCTATCAGACAAAGCATGTTCACGAAAGAAACATTCGAGTTTGAAATAGTAAACATTGTCTATTTCAAATACCAGTAAAAAGCTGAAATCAAATGAGTCACAAGCAAGTCCAGAAATATTGTGTGACATGATGACAGTACCACCAGTCCAATAAATACAAAAAGGCCAAAGGAAAAAAAAGGAAAGACATGAAGGATCACCCGTTTTTGTGAGAAAAAGTAGTTGGCTTCGGCTTTATGTCAAAGATGTCTCGTAAATGAGGTAAACTAAATCTCTTTTCAAACTCATCTTCATATTTTTTCTTCCAATTTGGGTCCTCTAAATCGAGTTTTGGTTTTGTAACAGCTCCATCTTCCACCGATAAAGACCAGCTTTTCATGGACCTTGTAATCGCATGAATTTTAGGAGTCTTCAAATTGTTCAAATGAGTATTTTGATCCAGATGGACATGGTTTCTCTTTAGTTTACTAAGACTAACTCCAGAGATTGATGGAATTGTGGCCATTCCTTGAATTTCCAGAAATTTGATTGCAAAATAAAGCTCAACCTATGGATGGGAATGCCTAATCTCCAACCTGTGATCCACAATTGTAGAAGTAATGATGAGTCCACAGTAAGTCAAAAAGAAAATTAAAAATTATTAACTGATGAGCAGCATATCAAGCTTAATATTTTCAAAGCACCATTACTGCCCTGCTCTATGATGATTATATCTAGTGAATCTTACAATTAAAGCCAAACGATATAAAATAATAATGAATAATAGGATGAGATCACAGTTTTATCAGATCTCCAGAAACATTTGGAACTAAATTTTGCATGAGAAGTTACACGTTTGTAGAAAAATGATCTTGAAGATGAAATGAAATTTGTGAATGCCAAAATTCCAAGTTGAGGCAATTTCTGCTATGTTTCATTCATCTCTTATCAAGGACTTTAACCATGTAAATTATATCAAATTTATAAGTCCAGAAACAACTCTTCACCTTAGATGATAAATAATGAGAACAGAAGTCAAACTATTTGACTATGAACTAAGTTGCAATGTAATTAAGACAGTTTTCAAAGATATATTTACTTTGCAAGTAATGAAGATTTTTCACAATAATCATAATGCAGCCCTATAAATCAATCAAAATATTCAGTATAACTAGCCGTTACAACCTACTGTAGAATAATAAACGTGTCACTTAATTACAAAAAAAAGAAGAAGAGATTTTGTTCCCAAATCTAGTTTTCCAAGGGATTCCCTATTAAATTGTCACCAGCGCCTCCCATAAATACATTAGAAGTTTCAAGAAACTAATATACAGTTTGTTAACTCTTTTTATGAGTAGGGTATACGTTTCTCTTTTCGGATTGTTAAATATTCCTAATTGATTGTGCAAAAGAAATATATATGTAACAAGGAGTGCAAAAACAAAGCAGGAGATTGTGAAGGAGAGGGAGATATACAAATTGTGTGGAGGTAAAGACTTTACAAAAGAAATGGTTGAGTTAGGGGATAATACAGATTATATGGGGGTTTGAGCATTGGAGATATATGATTGTTTTGCCCATTTTCAAACTAGCAACTAATGTATACTTTATTTATTTGTACGTGAAACAATTTATAATAAAACTTTCTTCTCCTAGAAGGTTACTGATTAAAGTTTCAGATTTTAACTGCTGATGTTGTGATCTAACCAGACTTTCATGGTAGACTTATGCTCTGCTACAGTGTTGTAAAACAAGGGAGCGGGTCCAGGCTCACAAGGGTCTTTAGCGCCAGTAAGGACCGACAGACTCGGTGAGTCAATCAGATACTCTGCTGAGCTCAAACAAAAAAATAAAATAAAGAATATTGGGAATCAACCAGATTTAGCCAGTTCCCATGGGTTTGGTTCCAGACTAGGCAGCCTGCCAAGTAAATCAGCAGAGTCAGAGATGGACTCGCGAGCTTTGCCACACCGCTCTGCTAAAAGGCAACTTATTTCTATGGACTAGCTTACAAAGTAAGCCTTCATTTAACTGTATCTGAAGTCTGATGTCAAGGCAAGTATGACTAAAATTCAATTATCTAATCATGGATCTAAGATAAAGTGCTAAATTTGAGCCTGATTTCTTTCCAACATATAACTAACTAGTAATTGTCTGCAAAATTAAGTTCATGATACTGTATTGAGTGAAAAATAGGCTTTCATCCAAAATTTGAGGGCATAGCTACGGTACTCCAAAAGAGAGCAAGTTAGACCAAACCATGGACAAAAATTACTGAATCTAAAGCAGAAGTTCTACTGCAAAGCTATTTAATCAGACTACCCAAAACATAAATTTAATTATGAATGGACCAAAAAATTTATATGAAATCTAAACTCCACATGAATTTGAGTATTTACATAAACTTGACCAAAAATTTTAAACACGATACAATATACAATCAGTCATGAAGGTTACTTTTAGAAAGTAGAGAAAGGAATCCCTGAGATTGAAGTCAAACAATTAACTCTAGTTTAAACAATGATTTTGATCACAGAGCCATAGCTATCAGCTGAAAACCTTGAACTAAACCAGCATTTGTCAAAAAAAAAGACTCTATTAACAATCTTGATCAAGAAGCAGGCGAATCAGTTTTGATTGATTAGTTCTTCACGACAACAACTCTACATACCAAGCTCGAATCCTACATGAATGAGAGACTAAAATAAAAATTTAAACACAGAATTACATGAAAATTTAACCACCTACTGGTAAATCTCTCTCTCCAACATAACTTTATCAAGAGGAATTAAACCATGTTTACACTAAAAATCCATAAAACAGAAGAATTCTCATCAAAGTGCCCTAAAAACAGTATAAAAACGTGAACTAAAACCATGATAACAGATGAAATTTATACCAGATAATTATAGCAAAGCTTCCAAAACCAATGGAATCAAACTCAAAAGATTTCCGGGCTAAAAACAAAAAATCCCTTGTTTTCAAGCTCTTAATACGATCAAAAGAGAAGAATGAGAGAGAAGAAAAATGCCTCAGATCTCTTCACTGAATTCTTTTACATCAAATTCCCGGCCAAAATCCGAGAAGCGGGTTCACTGGGCTTGACCGTCAAAGAGCGAAGGCGTGAACATTTATTAATAATTATAATTTTTCCGTAATAAATAAATTGTTTTATTCGTCTTTGCACGTGGGATTTAACGCCCGCCGGCGTTGAAAGGGAAGCACTTGACTTGGCGTCTTTTAGCTCCCCTCTCTCTGACTTTCTCTCTCTAAGTTTTCGAGCATCCTCTATTCTCTCTCTCTAGATTTTGGTTTATTTTCTCTCTCTAAGTTTTGGTGTAGCTTGCTACTTTCTTTCTCTAGATTTTTGCTTTATGCTGATTACTCTCTCTTTATCTCTCTAAATCTTACTCTCTCTCCTATCCAAATGGAAAAGTGTTTCATGTGGGCTGGACCGCATTTCTACATATGCGGTCCAAAAGTGTAAAACATCCATCTTAAATCTGAATGTAGGCAGGTGTTCCATCTAAAAATAATAGGAACTAATGGTCTAAATATTTTTTTACTAGAATTATTATTTCTAATTTTTAAAATTTATTTATTTATTTGTATTCATGATCTCCATGTTAGAGATTACATGTCTTTCAAAATTAAGTCCTAAAATCCATCTAAAAATAGATTTATTAAGAGATCCGGATTTCTACATATACGGGCTTGGCTGCATAAAAACCGGGTCCGATCCAAGTAAAGGTCTTTATATTTTGATTATTTCTTTATCGTTTTTACCATACAAAAAAGGTTTTTCACTGCACGATAAAATAGTTCCATGTTTGGTAGGAGGATAAAAATTGATTATAGAAAGAATATGGTAATTGAAGGACATGATTGTAATATTTTAATAGGTAATGGTTTCTTAAAAGCTAGCAATCCTTTTATAGAATAGAAGGATTCAATAACCTTAATTGCTACCTCGAAATATAGCCATTACCTCCATTCTCACTAAGCTCATAAGCTCTATAAAAATACGTGAACCCTCACGTCAAAACTCACCAATAATTTAGTTCTGGTGTCGAAAAACCTTCAAATCAATCATCTTGGCCTTAACTATTATGATTGTGAAAAAAATTTAAAATTTCAAGCTTTAAAAATAATGTATATTGTAACACATTATATGGACCGTCCATTTAAATTTCAAGCTCTAAATATAATATATATTGTAACACATTATATAGACTATCCATTTTGCCCTAAAATTAAGTATTTATGGATCAACAAGATTTGTATTATTTTCGAGCTTTAAATTCCATGGTCGGTGTTGAAATTTGATTTTAGAACCATCATGGAGATTTCCGATGTCCAAAGTGTTTTCCCGATGAAGCTTTACTTAATTTTCATAAATCCTAGGGCTTATAGAAACCACATTCTTTTTATTTCTCCTTATGCGTTCAAAATAGAATATGCAAGGGAAATTGAGTTAAAAACATAAAGACACAGTTCATTTGAGTCCATCTTGAAATGAGTCTTATTTTTTAGATGGATTATTGGACTTAATTTTTAATGACATATAATCTCTAATTGGAGATCACGAATATGAAAAATAAATAAATTTTAAATATTAAAAATAATTTTATAAAGAAACCAGTTAGACTATTAGTTTCAACTTTCAAGTTTCAACAATTTTTACATGGATGTCCCATCTTTGAGTGCTGAATACTTAAGGAGACGCAAATTTAGAGATGCGTCTCCCGACTCAGGAAACAATTTTTCAAAGCACAGATATTTAAGTGCTGGGGCGTGCCTTGGGCGATACGTCGGTGCGTGTTTTGAAAGGGTGGGTTCGATTCATGTGTCAGTCATGACGCCGCCTCTATAATAACCATATTCCAGTCATGATTCTTCATAGAGCTGACCTAACGAAAAATGGAAAAGTTTATATAGAGCCGAGGCTCTAAACAATCAAATTAGAGCCTACCTCAAAAATTTCATTGAAAGAGGTTATTTTGATCCTCAAATTGATCTTCTAGACATCAAAATGCATGGACATGAGAAAAAAAAAATTCGAGTTTTGAAACTAATACATCTTGTAATGCTTTTTTGGACCGTCAATTTTCAAGATTTTTCAAGTTTTCATAGATCTGCTTTATCTATGCTATTTTTTAAGCTTTAAATTTTATAATTAAAGATAAATATATATTTTTTAAAGCTATCATAGGTATTTCAATATTGAAATCACATTTTTTGATACTATTTAAAAGTACGTTTTACTTTGATTGTTTGGAGCCTTGACTCTCTGCAAACCGCACCCCTTAAAAATGGGCCCAGGATCCTTGGTGGAGAGAGGGTAGTTGAGCCTTTGCTCTCGCTTTCTCTCTCTAAGTTGACCTCAAACCTCATGCTGAAAGTAGTTGGAAGGTTTCACTTTTTTCTATCAATGGTGGGGAAGATGAACACGTCACCAAAGTGAGGTGCGAGGGGTTCTTTGTTTCTTTTCCCCACCCACCTTCAAAATCTCTCCAAGGCCCAAAGATGCGCATCTCACTTCCTACCAAAACTAGGATACTACTCACTCTCTCTCTCTCTCACGTTACTAGCATCCATTTCTCGCTCTCTCTCGAGGAGAGTAGACGTGCGAGTACGGACGACTTCACAGCCAACAACCAGCAAAAACAACCAACCGCTTTCATTTAGCAATCAACAACCGGCAAAAACAATCGTCTTCATCTAACAGCAGCCAACAATCAACAAAAACAACCACCTTCTAAAACGAAAGAAAATCACTAGAAGAAAAAGCACAATAAGGGGAGCTGAGACCCCCACTACATACATACCACCAAAAGCAAAAAAGAAGTGCTCAAAGAGGACAAGTTTATATTTCTTTACACTTTAGAAAATTTTTTCCATTCACCAAATGCAATACACATCCACCCCTTTCATACCACATTTTAAAACTCTTTCCAAACCTTTTGCTTCTTAAAAGGGTTTTTTTTTTTTTAAAGAAAGTCTTTCTAAACCTTTTGCTTCTTAAAGGTTTTTTTTTTTTTTTTTAAGAAACTCTTTCTCAACCTTTTGCTTCTTAAAGGATTTTTTTTTTTTAAGAAACGCTTTCTCAACCTTTTGCTTCTTAAAGGATGTTTTTTTTTAAAAAAGGACCGTATTATTTCGTTCTCTAAAAAGATAACTTCTTATCACCTTAATATTCCCCTACAACATAAAAGTTTTATCTTACCCCTACCATCCAATCGTCTAATTTTGATCGAGAGAGTCATTCACCGTTTGATCTTAGATCCGACGCCTCAAAGTATTTTATTTTTAATTTTTTTAATATAAATTTTCTGAATATGAAATTTGGTACGTGCCATCTTCTCATTGGGGCGCACCTATAAAAAATATTAACGCTAATTTTTTGATAAAAAATAATAACCAAAATACCCCTTGAAACTTCTCGGGGTATTTTGGTCATTTATTGTATTGAAAATACTTTTTTTAATATTTTTTTCTAGTGCCAGTTTAATACAGGAATAAACGTCTAAAATTTGGTGTCAAAATAGTTTATAAAAAGAAATTTAAAAATAAATTAGTGTAGAAATGTGACATTGTGATTGGGGCAATCTTAGCCCTCCATTCAAAATAGAAGGTTGGATAAAACTTCTATGTTGTAGGGGAAGTATAGAAAGATTGCTCTAATATTAAAAGTTAAACATTTATATTTCTCTTATCTTACGAAATAAGGCTCCCTAACCATTACAAAACTCTTATTATCCTGAAATAAAACCCAAAACTCACTAAAAAAAATAAAGGTTGGTTAAAAAGAAAACATAAAAAATACAATAATTTCTCGTTAATATTTTTTCCGTTCCCAGTTTGTTCTCTTCTAACAATATAGCACGATTATCTTGAATCTATGAAAAATAAATAAATAATTTTTTTGAATCGTCCATCTCTCGATTTGTCTCATTCTCCCTAGGTTGGAAAAAAATTACCTTCGAGTTTTGAAATGTGATAATACAAAACCTCATCTAAATACAAGGTCTCTCTCTCAACAAGAATATGACATTAGGGCTTGATTATGGGACTCATGGTTTATAAGCCTCATTCAAATATCTTCAAACCAATTACTGCTGCTTTAACACAACCACAACTATGGCAGTGTGCAACTAGGTGGTGAAACAAGAAGCGTCAACACCACTGTTGGCAAGAGATGAGAGCTTCTTATTGTTGCTACATCCAGTTGCCTCCTCTTTGACCGCTTTAGCACCGATATCTACATCATTGCCATCACTTGTAACTTGTTCTTCATCATAAATAGAAACACTCCAAATTCTTCATCTTCACCCAATGTTTCATCAAATATAGAATCACATCAAAGATAGAATCACTTGGTTCTTTATGAAAAGTGGGATCATTATCGAAGACATGATTATCTGGTTCTTTATCAAAAATTGGATCACTGTAAAAAAAATAGGCTCACTATCATAGATAGAATTATCCATTAATTCAAATAATATTGAATCCAATTAAAGATTAGATCGTTCTTGTTTTTCTTCAAACTCATGTAGATCATCTTTAACGTTGAAATCTCACTATTTGCTCTCCCAAACATTAGGCTCTCAACGCAGAGCATGTGCATAAAACAAATTATCGAAAACAGCTACCAACTCACTATCATCATCATAGAGTGTGGAGCTGGTCGCTGATTAACTCCTCAACTTACCTGCTCACGTAATCAATCTCGATATCTCGAAAATCTCATTCTCACTGGATGTATTTGTTCCCAATACTCGGTTGTCGATCACGTCCACCAGCCATCATGTCCTTTCGAGCAACACCACGATCCTATAAGAACCGAGTTCTGATATCAACTGACGCATATGAAAATCACCAGCAACCAGCATTACAACAAATAGAACGAATTGACTGAGAAGAAAATCAACAAGAAAAGAGCATAACGAGAGAAGCTGAGACCTCCACCATGAACTACCAAAAGATATAAGCACAAAGAGAAGAAGTTTCTATCTCTCTTTACATGGTAAACTACCTTTTTCATTCACCAAATATAACCCAATTATATAGATGACTATCCCTTTGATACGACATTCTAAAACTCTTTCTAAACCTTTCC